AAATAGAAACCCACCCTGCCTGCCATGTGAATGGGAGAGGGGACCCCAGCCTGCACCGCGCTGCCCACTTTGCCCAGTGCTGGGCAGATAAGAAAACACCCCTGGGACTAGCACCCCTCTCCACCTGCTTCCCCGTGGCCCCGAATACTGCCCCTCCCCCCAGCGCCTGCATTTGCAGTGGGTGGGATGGCACCCCTCCCCCACATGCTCCCCTGATGGTTGCTGGAGGGCCGGGGGCTCCCCCAGGTTTCATCAGGGACAGAGGAGTGAACGCCCCCCCTCCTGCAGTGAAGGCCACTATTCTTCCCTTTTCAGATGGGGAAACTGAGGCACAGGTGGGTGCTGCGATTTGCCCAATGTAAACCAGTGGTAGAGCTGGGACATGAACCCAGGAGTCCGGATAGCCCTCCTCCCCCCCCCCGTTAGATCCCACTGCTGTCCCAGAGCTGGGACCAGAACCCAAGAGTGCTAGCTTCCAGCCCCCCGGTCTATCCTCACCCGCTTTCCAGCGCTTCACAGCAGAGCTGGGACTGAAGCAGGGGATGGGAGGGGTCCGTGGAGCACCTTAATCTAACGGAGACTCATCTAAGCAACCAGCTCCTAGACAGTGGCCAGGAAGGGTGGGAGGTCTAGTGGTTAGAACATGGTGGTGGGGATGGGGGAAATCAGCGAGTCAGGACTCCTGGGGTCTGTCCCTGGCTTTGGAAGGGCAGTGATGTCTAGGGGTTAGACAGGGGGATTAGGGAGGCAGGATTCCTAGGTGCTGTCCCTGGCTTTGGAAGGGCAGTGATGTCTAGGGGTTAGACAGGGGGATTAGGGAGGCAGGATTCCTAGGTGCTGTCCCTGGCTTTGGAAGGGCAGTGATGTCTAGGGGTTAGAGAGGGGGATTAGGGAGGCAGGATTCCTGGGTGCTGTCCCTGGCTTTGGAAGGGCAGTGATGTCTAGGGGTTAGACAGGGGGATTAGGGAGGCAGGATTCCTAGGTGCTGTCCCTGGCTTTGGAAGGGCAGTGATGTCTAGGGGTTAGAGTGGGGGTGGGGACGTTGGGAGCTAGGACACTGAGAGCTGGTGTTATTCCCAGCTCTACCATGGCTTTGTTTCCAGCTCTTTCCAACAATGGCCAGAGCCCCTTGCCAGCGAGACGGCGGTGGGGGGGGGGCTGTTA